CAAAAGCACCTTATAACCATCATCTCTCCTCTTTACTTGTCAGATCAACTTTGCTAGTGTCTCCGCTGAAATGGCATCACCATGCCAGCTGCCACAAGGTGATTTTTCATGTCTTGTCAAAGAAATCTTTTATTCTATTTGCTCTGCATTAACATGTTACATTTATTGATCAAGCCCTTTCTGCAGCCACAGCAGGGCACTGTGCTCTTATGCCTAAGGGGGCTTTGATGTCCTGGTGACACTCTAGACCGAATAATGCACATACTAAATGGATTTAATGCAGAAATGTGTTTGTGCATGACAGCTACATTAATAACAGCCCCTCATACTGATAAATATGCAATTGCTACGATTAAGAGTTACCCAATTATGGTGAAAATATTTTTCTACCTTATAAATAAAGCCATCAAAAAGTTTTAACAATAGTGCATTTCCTTCAAATTTTAAAGTGCTATAAAGATGAGTCTAAAGGCTTTAAAAATATGTCATGCTTTGTTTTGAATTCTGGCTTTTATTTCCATCTCTCTTTTGTTGTTCATCTCCCTGTTCTGCATGTCTTATTGCTGCACAGATCAGGAAGGTGGTTAGGAAAAATAAAAAAAGCCTTTCTTTCACATACTCAACTTACAAAGAAGAACATGCCCTGTAAAAACTGAAGCCCATTTTCAGGCTGCCACTTGCATATTCCCCCAGGCAAAAAACAGGAGGCAGAAGAGAGAAAGAACAATACCTAGTCCACAGAGAAGATATTACAAAGCCTCAGCCTCACAAAAGTCATGGAGGAACATTCCAGACTAGGCTTGAAGTTCAAGGGACTGTTTTCATACATGCACCTTCTTCATCACACAGTGGAAATTATGCACAAGCACATACTGTGCAAATTATTCAAACTCCTAGCAGAAATAATCTGCACCCTAGAGAGAGGGAAGAGATATTTGTATCTCCGTGAGCTCAATTATTGGATTAATCCTTCCTCATTGGCCAAGATTAAAGATTCACTCTCCCTTTCACCTCAAAGCTTAGACCAAGAAGAAATCACCGTAAGAAAAAGGAAAATAACTCACATGTTTAAAACTACTGAGGACAAAATCACAAGATGGACTTCTCATGAACTGAAGTGTAGATGTAATTTATAAAAGCATGGCACTGTTTGTACAAAGCCACTGACATCTGTTATTCAAGCACTGGAGTGCATTTAGCCTTTAATGTGAAAGGATAAAAAATTGAGCAAAGTCATCTAGGACAAGTAAAAAAAAGCCCTGAACAAGTTGGGGTTTTTTTTTGTTTGGGGTTTTTTTTCTTCACACAAGATAGCATGCATCTGAACTAAAAATCTCTAGATTCGTTTAAATGCACACACAATGCATTTAAACTAAAATCTCTGTATTTCATCCAATTCTCTACTCTCTACCTCTACTACATCCTTCCTACTCGCTTACTGCTTTCTTTCCTTCACCAGTGATTATTACTTACCTTCTTCTTTTTTTAATGAAATCTTTAACTTTCCATGATAAACAATAGTTTTTCATTCTACCTTGAAATCCTTTACAAAGTTTCCAGGTAACACTAGCCTTCACACATCAGTGTCTCTCCTTCCCATACTCTATGCCTTCACAAAATGAGAACAGGGGAATGTTTTTCCACATATTATGAAAGGACTCTGTTACTAGGGAAGGCTATCAAATACAGTTGCCATGAGAGGCTTGGGAGCAGATTTCCAAAGCAAAACATCTCTGCTCCTGAAACATGCCTTATTGAAAATACACAGTGTAAACAGTTCATTTCTAAAACAGCTGAAAATCACTATGAAATCAAAAGAGCTACGACAATTCAGGCCATATCACACCAATAAAGCTGCAGAATCACAGCATAATTTAGGTTGGAAGGAGCATCTAGAGATCATTTAGTCCAATTCCCTGCTCAGAAAAGGGGGATTTCAGAAGTTAGGTTTTGTCCAGTCACATTTTAAATATCACCCAGGGTGGAGATTCCACAGCCTCTCTAGGCACCTCTTCCACTCAACCTTCCCTGAGGTGGCTGGAAATCCCCTTGCTGCAGCTGTGACAACTGCTTCTTGTTCTTTTGCTGGTCATCTGACAAGAGTTTGGCTCCATCTTCTTCATACCCCATCCTTGGCCCCAAAAGGAAACAGAGGATATTAGAAAGTATACAAACAAAATCAATGTAATGGAAAAGGCATGAGAAGAGTAAGTCAGAAGTGGACTACAGTTGTCTGGGATTGAAGGATTTCCACCAGCCAAAGACATGTACAGGAGGCAATCCAGTGGCACCACATCCTGCCAATTACACCAGCATCTTTTAAGGACACACACATTTTTCCCTTTGCCTCACACACAACAAATTGCTGTTACTCCTCCTCTTTCCCAAAATACACATTTAAGTTCCCTTGTACCTTTCACCTCTTTCTTTCCTTTCCCTTCCAGGGAAAAGGGGAGATGTGTAACCACTGCAACAGGCAGCAGTCACTTCGACCACCAGCAGAAAGAGCTGGATCCATGTACTGCTCAGGGTAATCCAGGAGAGACACTAGCTCTTGGAAAAAGGCAAACAAGAAAGACACAAAAGCAGCTGTTTGTGATTATGGATCAAGTGCCGTTATTAAATATACCACATCTGATGCAAAGATAATTAAGCATCTACATACCCCCTACATTTTATTTAAGAATGAGGAAGGAGTTCTATCCTGGGAAAGAACTCTGAAGTCAGGAAAAAAATGGTGAAAAATGTACACTTTCCTCTGTATTAAGCTGCCAGCTCAAAAGAACTATTGACAACTCTCCCCTCCTCTGTTATATGGAAACATCCCAAGCAAAAAGAAAATAACCAGGGAAATCTGAGTAACAAAACCATCACACATGAGAACATTTGGTTTTCTTTTTTCCTTTCAAAAAAATCCCACAAACTCTCATCCAATGATAAATCAAATTATAATGAAACCTAGCATCTTTACTGCAAATAACTACAGTGCTAGCAAAACACACTATTCTCTTCATCTTTTCCTATATTTTCATCACCGTTGGTCTTCTTCATTCAACTCACACCTTTACCAAGGAGACTATACTAAAAAACCAAACTCCTTTTAATGAGGATTTAATTAAATGAACATTAATTGTAGGCATTGTTGCCTCACTGAAAACAACATATTAAACTTTTCAAATTAAGCATTTACTGATGGAAATCATAAAACTCATCCCTATACTAAAACACTGTTAGATTTTTAAGCAATGATACCTGTTTAAAGAAGATGTCACTGCTTACACTTGCTTCAACAGCTGCCCAAGACATTATTCTATATTCACATTCATTTAAGGTTATGACATTGATTCTGTATCTTATCTCTCTCAATAATATGCAGGTACAGGGCTTACATATGAGTGCAGACCACTGTGAACAGCTAGTGTACCATAAATTCTTCACTCTTAGTTTCTATATGCTTAGTAAATCTAAGCACTACTCAAATGAGGAACCCTTACTGCTCTCATCCCATTTACTGTTAGCTTCCCAAAGGGAAAAAAAAAAATCCACTTCTCCTTTTTCCCAAATCTGATTTCTTGTCTTAAAATACTTTTACAGATTTACAACTACAACTTCTCCTACATCAATAAGCTGATTGTTCTTCCCTAAACCTCAATAAAACCAAATTATATCCCTTCTGAAAAACAGGCTAAGTGTTTTGAGTAGAGAAGAAAAGAAGGAAAGAAAACACAGATTTCAGAAATGCATCACCAATTGTGCTCTCCATGAAAATATGATCAGAGTTTTAAAGTGGTACTTTACATCCAAATTTAATGTTATTATTTTAATTTATGAAATGAAACAAATTCAGAGAATTGTTTTTCAAATCACGCATTAACTAAAAGAGACAAACACTTTTTTTTCCCAGAAATGTAAAGAAGGAGCAGTCTTGTCAACATGTTAAATCTTAATACACATACAGACCTTCTTGACAAAAACAAAAAAAAATTACTATTTGATCCCCTCCCCCAGCAAAACTCTTTTCTGGCTACAATATCCAATGGTAGAGAATCATAGTATAAGACAACAATCCACAGATTTAGTGTCTCCTTTGCTCGGCCACCTCTTACATGTATGATTCAGTCTTTCAGAGTTGACAGAGGCTCAGAAGAACATTTGTGAGTGTTAAGTAAGTTAAAATCAACGGTTGTTTCTTCTAGGAAAACAAGGCATCAGCACACTACTTTTTGTACTATTCACAATCATACTGTGAGCTTACCCCCAAGAAAACAAAAGGAAAATGAGTTGAGTCCAACCCTCCCCTCACAAACCTATTTTTTTATTAAACAGACAATTGCATTCAAATACTTTCTCCATACTTACCCACATTTTTCAACCTGAAATATATTCTGCTGAACCTCAGCAGGCTCTCTTATAAGGATTAAATGAAATGGGATGCTGTAGTAGCTCACAGCAATACTGCAGAATCCTAAACCAATTCATATATTAAAATACTTAGAAGGAATTAAAAATTCTAACTGCACTTAGCTTTAGCACTTAACTACACAGATGCACAAAAATAAAATTATAGAATAAAACACATCATCTGGGAAAAGAGCATTATAAAGTATTTATAGTAATAACCAGAAATCTATAAATAAAATTTTTAGAAAGGGAGAGAAGCACATACTTACTTGTATTTTGGTTAAGGAAAACTCACTTTTGATCCTATTCTTCACTTCTTCAGGTAACAACGCTTATTTTCCAATTTAAGTAGAGAACAAAGCATAAGTTTATCAATGGGCATCATTTGTTAACACATATTAGCTTGCCAGACTCACCTGGTTATTTGTGCTTCAAGTGTGGGAGAAAAGGAGATAAACATTACTTATAAAATAGTGTTGTCCACTTGACAACAATTAAATGTACCTGACAAACATTTTCCTACTTTGAAAAAAAAAAACAGTGTATTTTAGGAGTTGGAATTCCACATTGCACTTAAAAATCTATATACTGCCACATACCTTAACAAGTTGAAGCTAAGATCTAGCCTTTTTGCCATGTGTCCATATTTTCTTCCTAGGAATTCTGGAATTTCTTCACAGTCCTGACTAATGTAGGACACCTGAGAAATAGAAGCAACAAGGAAACATTTCATGAGTAGATTTAGTTCCCTGTCCAGATTCTGTCTCATTGATAAAATGATAACGTGCAATACAATGACTTGGCATTACAGCTTTAAACTACCTAAGTTTTACAGCTATAAAATCTATCACACAAACTCATTTTCCTATTGATACCACCAACTTAATATTTATTACATCTATAGTCTCTATGTACATTTTGTCTCCTTGCAGGTAAAATACTTTGACTAAATATACCACATTTCTTCTATTTCACTATTAATACTTGGATCTAATGTTACTTCACATTACCATTCTGACATGCTCCAGAAGAAATTTGTTTGAAGGATCAGAAGCCATCCAAAGGATCTTCCAGTTTGGCCCTTCATATACAACAAACAAAAGTTGTTTTCTAAATTTAGGTGCAGAAAAACCTCAGCAGTGTATGGTCAATCCATCCTAACCATTCCCTGAGAAGATTATTACTCCCAGTAACACACTAGAGATAGAGCAAGAGGGCTGCCCATGACCATCAAAATGAGGCATGCAGCTTCTTCTCAGACAGCCACGAAAAAGATTTCTGGCTTCTCATTACCCCTCATGTACGTGTACTCCTTTTCATACCAGCCCATCTAACTCATCTTTAGCAAACACAGGAAGAATTAGTGGCAGCACAAAAACCAGTCTACTCAGATTCTGTTTGTTTTTATTTGTTTTTAGTCAGGATTGAGTTGATAATATTTCCAGAAGAACACAAAGTAAAGCAGCTGCATTTTTTCTCTTATTTCTGCTGTACTGTTTTACAAGTCATTGGTTTGATTTATTCAAAGAAATCTCACAAAGCTTTGCAAAACTATTGTCAAGAATTCTATACATCTATATTGGCTCATCCCTTCTGTGCTCAAAATACAGATATTTCAGATTTTGTGCAGCAGAAATATTAAGTTTTCCTTAATGACCAACTAGCAAGTTAAGAACCATGTTAGACCACTATCTATACAACACTGTTATTATCCACTTGTTTAATTATAAAGTCAATTTCAATACCAATCCCACTAGTCTAAAATATGCTGGATGAAAAATATGCAAAAAATCCATCAAAATTGTTTTGATAGTATTCCACCTTCTGTTAAAACAGAGACTCCTCTGCAGAGCAGACTGACAGTATGTACTTCTGCAAGTCATCCTGATCTCCTACGCTCTAAAAATGATTGCATCTGATAATACTATATGGCATTCCATTTAATTCATTTTGTTCAATAACTTCAACAGATAAAGCTGACAACAGTGAAATAATTTTATGAGCAGAAAACAGGTAGCTTGAAGCTCAGTTTAACAACTTCTTCCCCTTGCTAAATCAGACCTGCTCTTGCAGTATGTTCTGTTACCAGATATACACACAACTTGAGCAAATAGAAGAATAAAAGGCAAAGGAACTGTTTTGGTCGTTGGCATCCTAATGGTTTGGATATAACAGAAAATGTTTTGCAGAATTTATTGAATTAAATATGTAAAGCTTTTCCTCCAGTTTACGTCTAACATAACCACAATGTGTTTTACAGCATACACAAAGGTATACACAAAAGAACCATGTCATTCTTCACTGAATGGTAGGTTTCTTTCAATTAATGCTTGCAAACTCTTTGAAAGGCCTCACATTAACAGCTTAATACTTTGGATTAAGCATTTGGTTCAATGTAACATGTTGAAACAGAAATGACTAAATATGATGCCTATTAACACTGGGAGGACAAGACTGTCTTGAGGAGCTACAACAAACACAGCAAGAGCACAGACCGTCACTTGGCCTTTCACCCAGGGAGCAATGGCTGAGAAGGAGCAGGAGACTCTTGCCTGCAGTGTGTGTACAGTGCTTCAGAAACTTACCTGGACATCAAAGCCCTAGCCACAAGAATAGAAATTGAAGAAAAATATTGATACAAATGTAATTTAGAGCACACAGGAGACAAAGTACGTAAAATGTTTCAAAGGTTCAGCCTTTGAACAGTTATAATATTCAAATATATTTACACAACTAGTGCAAACAGATTATTCACAGGCATATTTGCAGATGACATATTGTTATCATGGCCTTTCAATGCTGAGACCTTGTAAAGGCATTTTACTTCCACAGAATCCACTTCAGCACACTTACAATACAATGCTAATATAAAACAAGAAGTCAGTAGACAGAAGAAAGAAGAACATTTCTTCATTTTATTTGCTTCAGTTCAAAATAATTTACTCAGGAAACAATAAAATGTACATAATTCAGTATTCTTCCTTTTGCTTCCATTTCAAACACCCCCAAAATGACTATGAGCTTCCAAGTACATATCCAGTGATATCACCACTGAGAGATGAGAGCAAACATACTTTTCCCAATACTCCAGCTCTTGGGCTGCAAGACACATCAGTAACAGTAGATTCCATAGATTTTCCTACACCAGTCATAGACAGGATTAAAAACTGGATGTAGAGGTTTCCATGGCCTAATTCTCCAACTCAGATATACTGAAGGTTGGTCAGTCAGTTATTACTGGTGGCCCATTCAATACCCCACCAAAATGTTCAGAGTTTCCCACAAAGGCCAGCATCAGATAGGCTATAGAGGCCTGATATATTCTTGCAGACCCTTCAACACACTGTATGCAATTAATGAAAAATATATGTTGCTACAAAATATTTAAAACATAAGTTAACTATCAATAGCAGTTGCACCTCTCTTCTGCTTTAGTTTCAGAAGGTATCACCATTTAGTCTTTGTGATCATTCTACAATGACAGTGTCATCTTAATAACCCATAGTGTAACGTCTTTATTAAGGAATGTCACCAAAAAGGTCACGTATGAACTCTCAATACTGTATTTTCTCTCCCATTGAAGGGAATTATATCTGGAGAATATTTCCAGTCAGCTGAGCATTACATTTTACTCCGTGCTGATAGAAGATTGTATGCTGGGCGCATAGCCAAATTAAGGGACTCAAGGCATGCTCAAGGGAAGAAGGTAGCGTGTCACTCAGTGCCAGGGTGCACCACAGAGACCACAGGAACTGTTTCCTGCAGCAGCTTCAAAATTAGCCAATTAATTGCCTTCATATCACACGTATATTCACATGAATTCCACATAGAAATAGTGACCAGATTAAAGAAGCGATTAGATGGGGACCACCCTGGTTTAATGGCAAACCATTTTCAAAAATAAGACAAGCTTCCTTCTCTTTAGGAGGGAAAAAAATGTTCTGACTGTAACCACAGGTTCATCACTAATGTCATCAAGTTTCAGAAAAAAATTTTTTCAGCAGCTATACAAGGCGCTGAGCAAAAGTCAGCAGGATGTGTTGTATTTCCCAACTTCTCTTTAACCACCCCGAAACACACACAGGCGGTTTCAGGAGGAACAACACTTAGCAGATTTCACTCCTCCTTCAGCCCATTCCGGCGGCCCCCCCAGCCGGACCGAGCAAGCGCCGTGCCGAGCCGCAGCACATCCCGCTGGGAGCGCGCTGCGCGGGAGCCCCGGCGGCGCGCCCGCCGCACGGGAGCGGCACCGGGCAGCGGCGCCGGGCAGCGGCGCCGGGCAGCGGCACCGGGCAGCGGCGCCGGGCAGCGGCACCGGGCAGCGGC